GTTGACTTTCGGTGGCGCTTGCTGGCGTATTGTACGTGTGCGTCGTGTTTGTGAGCGTGATTGTGTGTTTAGCAGGTTTGTTTGGGTGTACTTGGCGGGTTACCCATGCTTGACGCACCAGCTAAAGCCGTAGTGTTGCCACCGTGATAGGCTTAAGGCCTATTTACACGATGCGTCCTAGACGTACGTCCTAGACATACGTCTAGGACGTCTAGGACGTACACCGTGTATGACAATGCAAACGCAATGTCGGAAGAAATAAGAACATCCGTCCTGTGCATCCGATATCGCAAGGGTCATACATTTGCATTGTCATACACGGTGCGTTTTGGACGTACGTCTAGGACGCATCGTGTAAATAGGCCTTTACGAAAGACATGACCGACCGACCCCCCACCCCCTAATTCTCCGCCGTAAACACACGCAATAAAAATTTAAACACGCACAGAAACACACACAATGTCGTATATAACGTCCGTCCACACTTGATTTAAATAGAAGAGTGTCTCTCTCTATATATAATTGCTTATTACAATTCGTAAAACGCGCTGCACACTTCCCATACATATAACCACTCGCACAGACGCGCACGCACGCACGCACGCACATACACACACACAATATATACATAAACACACGCACGCACGCACATACACACACACAATACATACACAAACACACGCACGCACGCACGCACGCACGCAGACGAGCATACACTAGGCACTACAAGATTTACGACCTTCATCATCATCATCATCATCATCATCATCATCATCATCATCATCATCATCATCATCATCATCATCATCATCATCCTCATCATCACCACCACAGAACAGGCAGTTTGCAGAAATGCCCCCCCACCCCCCCACTGTTAATCAAGGTGATGCACACAACCCGACACTATCCTACAATCCTACACGAAATAATACCATGCGATCATCAGCTTGAGTACGACTTGTCAGGATTTCCATATTAAATCCGCCCAGATCCTAGCCCAGCTTCCCCACTCTCCCCCTACCTCTCCTCCAATTCACTCCTCAGCTCTTAGCAACTTCAGCGCCTCACTGATCACACTCGCACCCATTTCCATATTAAATCCTCCCATATCCTAGCCCAGCTTCTTCTACACTCCCCCTACCTTCCTCCACTTCACTTAGCTCTAGAACTATAGCCCGTCGCTCCGCCACAGGCCGTGTGTGGCGGGGCGAAGGGCTATAGTTCTAGAGTTACACTTCAACCATCAGCTCTCAGTTGCTTCAGCGCTCCACCGATCAACGCCCATTTCTTAATGATCGTAAACATTCTTACAGTTCAATAATTCATCGGTGTTTCCGTGGAACGAGCGGAGAGCTCTGCTCAGCAAGCACGCAGACGCTGACTGGTTTTCTATACGCAATCATTGCGGGAAAAACCACATGAACACGAGAGAGAGAATGAAGCAAACACATTCTAGAAATTAAAATTCGGTCCCGGATTGCGAAGGGAGAAGTCTGCAACGATTTCATTAATAGTTGACAGGAAAATAACTCAGCGAATCAGTAAACCAGCATATCCTAAATAATAAAACTTGTAACAACTAAAAGCTTTGTTCGAGTATGCATGCAGACGAAGAAATGTAGAGCGCGAAAGCTCTATCTCCGTGAAATCCGACGAGATTTCCCCCCATTTTCCGCCTCTGAACGACACATAATAAGGGGGGCATTAACTAGGCTTTCTCACCTGCTCGGTCCCTCGTCACCCTGCCCGTAACATCGGCTTGATGATGAATGTAATACAATGTATAGATGAATCGGTCTAATATACAAAAGTCATCGATACGCTGTGTGATACATATGATTGATGAGATCTCAAGCACACACAGGAAATTAATATCTATTATTGATACACGTCTATGCATGCACAAAGCTCAGACGGGGGTCTGTTCTTCGCTTCGATTCACTCTTAGAGATAATTTCCAAGAAATTGCGTTTAAACTTTCACGGGCGCGGTGGGACGTTCTGGTGTATGTGTGTATGTGTATATGCGTGTGTGTGCGGGGTTATTACGGACGACACTTATAAGCTCCACACTGCGTACATCCCACGTAATTTTATCCTTATCATTACATTGTTATTACAATGATTCGGTGATTGATCACCACCGCCTAACTTGGGAGAAATAAAAATCATTCAGGGGGAAACCAACGTACACGCGAAACAACAAAATATATACACCGGAAACCGGACCAGAAACAATTAACCGTGACGCGCATTCAAGAACGACCTGGCTGCGCAGAACTGAAACGACAGAGAACTGAACTGAACTCAAATGAACTGAACGCAACTGAAGCGACAGAAGAGAACTGACTGAAGCGACCGAGGAACGATCTTCAGTATCTCGCCAGAGTGCGTGCATGCATTCATGCAAGATTTTGTCGTATCTTATCGTAGACATTGGCGTATTTATATTAAAGACTCCTCACTGACGTCACTGGCGACTAGGCAACCACTCACACAGACAGACGAGCCATGGGAAATTCCCCTTAGTTCATTTCATTACGAAACCAAATTAAAATCGTCTACTAGCAATATCAAACTCCAAGCTCCAACAAATTGACAATCATTCCAGGCATTAAACTGCACTTATAAAGGGGAATAATAAAAGTACATGTTGATTACATCACATTCTAATTCCGAAGTTATTCAAATAGATTTTTTTTTAAACAATCACATTTGGTTCCCTCGACGTATGACTGATTCTTCAGATACTGACTCGATCCCCATACTGAAGTAATAACGAATGTTTGAAGCTAGTACGAGGGTACGGCCCAACACGAAAGAAACGAATGCTTCAGCTCGTAAGTTTGCCCTCAACTCTCCATCGATCGACGAGTGAAGTGACATTTCACGAGACTAGTAAACATTTAATCTCTCTGCAGAAGCAAAGAAATATGAATCAATATCTAATCAAAGAGCGCATTTCGATGGATTGCTCCCAGCTGTCCATTAGAACCGGAAAACATCAGTAGTGAAGCAAACTGTGAAGCCGTTCGATCGAAACTATTAGAAATGAATACTAATAGTTCATCTGAACATATCAGGAGTGAATAATAGAGATTCTCTATAATTCACTCCTGATCATATAATTAGTTCATCATGCCATCAGAATCCAGTATTGCACAAACCAGCGGTCGAGTTATTCGATCTGACCGACAGATATATTTGCCATTCCGAAGTTCGTTCCTCGATAGAACACAACGACTCTCACATGTTTTCACTCACTGCAAAAATCCTCTCTCTACACTCAGCCCTCGTGTCTAAGCACCCCGTCCCCCCCCCCCCGAAAAAATTTGCCGCGAATGGCACCCATTTCGAAATGCCGTAGCTATTTGTGTGTCAGTCGCGTAATGGCTTCCCGTTAGACTCTGTAGCCACCCGATTTTATAGCCGCATTATATTTTGCTCGACTTTTACTCTCTAGCGAGAGCACGGACGGTCACGATCGAAAAGTGACCCCGTGGAAAATTATACCCGCAACAATTTACGGCGAATATCTGACCGTGAAGGCGTGAACATTGATTCGCAATAATGTTCGTTAAAATGCCGTACACTAATCATTCACATTATCTGAAGCTGGCCAGGCATAACGCACAAACGTGGCGGCCTACTATAGTGGTTACCATATAACCTTTAATATAATATTATCACGCCACCACACTCCTGTGCCCACCTAAATTACCAACGACCTAAATCACCGGATACGTAATCGATTTGAAATTACGCAAGCGCGTATCGATTTCGTTAGTATAAATCTAAAAAAAACTATCTCGTGATCATAGGTAAACATTGTGGCTAGCTAAAGGATCTAAGTAGTAAGCACACATGACGCCTCGTGGTGAACACCAACCTACATGCATTAGCATCTACACTCCAGCACTGAGAAAACTCGTCATGAAACATTTATAACATATTAGACGCCAGAGTCACTGTTTACAATCCCAGCGCACAGACGCACGCAGCAGGTTGCCATGGCAACTCCACAAGCCCACCGCGGGCATCCAAGCGTCCATGTTTGATACTGGGTGTTTCCATCACAGCGTAATATATATATATATATATATATA